GGGGTGAAAGAAGTAGTACATTTGTAATTTGGTGCTGCCTTCACGTTGCAAATGTCTAGAGGTCCACAAATGCTATGTTGGTGCAATTATCGTAATGTCAGGGAAACAAAGTAATTAAGTTAAAGGAACAATAACAGGAACTCAAACCGAACTCGAACTATAACATGCAGTAGATTCCAAGCTACGTGTTGATGCTTTCCTTGAGACGATATTTGCACTCACTACAAGTGATACACACAGAAAAGCAAAACTAATAAAACCAAATTTGTTGTTGTTGAAGATCCCAGAAATTAGAAGCAGATTTAGTTGTTTATATGTCCCCTTATTTTATAGTTTCCTTATTGTTAGGATATAGTTTGTTTCCTTGTTTATTGGATTTGAGTCTATTTAGATTTTGAAGTATGGTTATCTAAATTTGGTAGATATCTCTAGAATAAAGGATCACAATTGTGTATCCTAGTCCTATAAATAATTGTACTTGGCTGAGGTCAACAATAAGATTGATTTATGACTTTTTGTAGTGTTCATTTTGTCTTTCCTTCCTGGTTTTATGGTATCAGAGCCAAGGGTTGTTTGAGCGGACAGAATGGTCAAAACAGCCATGACTGGTGCATGCAGAGATGAGGATTCATGGGTCTCCACTGGACCTGTAAACCCATCTCTACAAGTACACCCATTTCACCTCCTCACCATCTTCCCACTGTCACTCTCTCTGAAAAATCTTCTCTCCAAATTACCACCACTCAGTTGAATAGTAAAAAATTTCTCCAATGGTCTCGATCTGCTCCTATGGTTGTCCGTGGACGTGGATACCTTGGTTATGTAACTGGAACCTCATTAACACCGGCTGAAAGTGACCCAGCTTATGTAACCTGGGATGCGTAGAATTCAAAGGTGATGGCTTCGACTGTTAAATTCAATGGAAGAGGATACTGAAGGGTCTTATTTATATTACTCTATTGCACAAAATAAAATAAAATAAATTGGATACTCTTACAGTTGCCTTCTCCGATTTGGAGAAGAATAAGACACTGGATTTACTAAAGGAGACCTCGACGTCACCCTATATTACAATGCTCTAAAGCAACTATGGCGAGAAATTGATATGTTCATTTAAATTGATTAGAATAGTACTCCTAAAAGATGCTGAGAAATATAAGAAACAGGTGGAGGAGAGAGTTTATGATTTCTTTGCTCAGTTAGTTCCTGAATTAGATGAAGTAAGAGGCCGACTACTGGGCATCAAGCCACCACTAGTAATTGATGGGATTTTTACCGAGGCACATCGTGAGGCCAGCTGAAAATGTGTAATCTTGTCGAAATCCATCTCAGGTGACCAGAAAAATTAACTCATGGTGTGATCACTGCAAGTTTTTTTAATTGCTAGACACAATGTTTGTTACAACTCAATTTTCATAGTCGAAAATTCAAATGTTGACTAGTCAAGGTCAAAGTCATTTAATTACTAAAATGGAATTAAATATTTTATTGGGGGTTTATTTTGCAATTGGCAATATATGAGGATTAAATTGGATACAATTTAAAGTTGGGAATTTAATTATATATTTTTGGAAGTTTAGAATTAAATGTGATATAAAAATGATGTTGAGGGACTTTCCTTGCAATTTTTGAGTAAGTGGGATTATTATTCAACCTTTGACCATCAATTTCTCCCAAAAACAAACACTCACACACTAGAAAAAAGGGGCAGAGAGCAGGAAGGCCAAGAAAGAGGGGGAAAACTAAGGAAAAAGGGGAAGAAAAGAGAGAGAAAGAAGGAAGAAAGGAAGAAAAGGAAAGAAGAGGAAACGAGGTAAGGTTATTCCCTTCAAGTTTGGGTTTAATTTTTCCATTTGTTTTCAAGTGATAAAAGTATGAATTATGTTAAAATTCTAGGGTTTTAACTTGTAGTAGAAATTTTCAAATTTAGGTGTGATATGTGCGAATTGGAGCTCAGGCTGGGGGATTACTTCATTTCCAATTTCAGTTAGGTAAGGAATATTATTTTTAGCAAACCCTAGAAATTTCATTTGGGATTTTTGTATTAAATAGTGTTTATGGAAATGATGAAAATGAGGAAATAATTATTTGGAAGTATGAAATTGTGAAACAAGAGGAAAATTTAATTGGTCAAAGTATTGTGACAAGTTGTCATTAGAATGAAATGGTAGTTACATTAATGCTTGGAATGAAAGCAAGGGATCATAAAGTGTAATTAGCTCCAATTAATAAAGGAAAGTTTGGGAATTTATTCAAGTATCAAGAAATTTAATTTAAGTTCTATCATTAGATATAAAGATTTCTTGATTTTAATAGTGGCTAAATTAGTTATTTTATAATATATTTCAGGTGGTGATGAAGAAATTGAAAAAGCTTACCGATCGACTTAGTCTGTAGCTCGTATTGAGTGAGTGGATATAAACTTATTTTCAGAAATTAGTATTTAATAAATTTATATTAAATCAAAAAATTTATTATTTCATACAGTAGATTTGATAGCATGATTTCCAGAATGAGATTGATTTATAAACAATTATTTTTTTAAAAGATAAATATAGTTCAGTTCATTTAAATTATTTGATTAGCATGTTATATGAGTATTAAATATTTCTGTATAATTAAAATTATTTTAAAATCACCAGAAAGTACCCAGGTGATTTTACCTTAGTCTGCACTGGTGTGAATGTGTTTTTACAGTGTATGACCAGTTATGGTGATTTTACTTGCTCAGCACTATTGTGAATGTGTTTCCATAGTATATGACTAGATAGCTCTGCGCGTATATGACCAGAATTACGGAATTTCAGACTTACAGAATTGAGTAGCTTTGCCATGTCTATCGGTGCTAACTGATACATGAGTATAGTTATTCCGGGTATCTTTTTGATGTGATTTTTTCAGTATTATACAGCTTATCAGATTTCAGAATACAGAATTTATTTTATTCAGTTTAGAGAATAAAAATTTAGCTTAAAGTACTGTGTAATGATATTTTATTATAAACCAGTTTTTAGAAAATTAGCATAAATGGAAAAAAGTATATTTGTTTACAAAATTATTCATTCACTGAGTTACAAACTCATATATTTCATCTTTCTTTTTCTTATTAGATAGTAGCTGTGTTGAGCCGTATCGGAGCCTGTTGAATTACCAAATTGAGCCATTCAGTTGTTAATTGTATGTTTCTTTTTATCAATTTTTATAATTCATAATTTTTGTGATAGATGCATCTTTTGTCCGTTTACATCATGGGCTCATTACATAATTTTGTATAACTTATGCATTTGGAGTCCTCTAGTTTATAAAGAAGTTTAAATTTCATTCCAATGCACTTTATTTTGAATAATTGTGTTTGAAAGGGCTCATGTACCCGTTTTAAATTATATGTATTGGGTTGAGAAAGTTGATAAATTTTCAGGTAATTTTAGTCCATATTTTAGAGGAAATTCTGTCAAATTTTTATAAAATTATGTCACAGTCAAAGCAAATCATAGTTGCCTTGGTGGTGGGTCCAGCATTTAACTAGTATCCCTCATCGACGCACAACACGTGTCGGGTCCATTAGGGTGATTCGGGATGGGTCGTGTCAACGTTCCTTTAAGATTTATGACTCTTGTTTTTTAGATTGTTGTTTTCTGAATTAATGAATTAGTGCATTTAAAGTTTGTAATTGATATTTATTATGGTTATTAAATTTGGTCCCTGAATGATTTGTATGAAGTTCATACATACAATGAAGTACGATTTTAAAAGTGATTATACCTGTAATATAAGAAAGAAAATAGTTGCATGTTAAAACTGTGGAAAGCCATGATTCAACTATAGTAAATTTCTATTTGAGTAGGTTATTGACAGTTAAGTATATGGTCATATTAGTTACCCACTTTAAACTTAGTTGCTAAATATGTGAACCAAGTTTGAGAATATAACCGTTTATGGTCCATGTGTTTAATATTTAAATTTAAAGTCCAAATTAATTAAATGGTGGATTAATTAACTACATAGTATAACTTTCCATATGTTCATTGGATGGAAGTTATTGCAGGAGAAGAACACCAATTTCTATGATGGACACAAGTCATGTAGACGTGTCTACATAAAGGAACAAAGGGTCCCTAGCCTAGCCTGAACAAATAAATTACAGCATATTTTTATTTACCTGATTAAAAAAATAAAAATAAAAATAAATAAATAAAGAAGAAGAAGACCTACGCCTTATGCCATCAAGTGAAAATGGAATAAAGTTGGAATAGGCTTGTTGGAGGCGTGATTTTCTTTTGTAGATTTTAGTTACATTTGGAAAACATCACTAAAGGTAAGCAATTAATTTCTTCCATGAGATGTGTGTGTGTGTCTATATATATATATATATAATTTTTTTTTCTTTCTTTTTAGGGGAGAGAGAAACTTATGTAGTGATTTTTGTATGGGTTTGGAACTTCACCCTTCCCCCATCATAGAAGTAGATGGTTTTTCTCGTGCAATAACTTTCACCCAAAACCATATGGGAAGTTATTTTAGGAAATTAATTAATCCATCATGTAATTAATTTAAATTTTAAATTTAAATATGGAATATGTGGGCCTTAAACAGTTACAAGTGATGCATGTGCCTTGCCTTGATTTAAATTCTCTTAACTTAGTTCTTGGTATAGAAGGTTTAACTTCTACGGTAAATACCAAATAAAAATTGTTGACTTGAAGAGGTTTGCATTTTCTTCTTTCTCTGTCTTTTATTTCTCCTTCTAGTCCTGATAGACACATGGGTATAAGTGAGACGACCAAGTTTTAGAGTAAGCAGCGAGTGAGAGGGTAGATAGGGTAGGTGAAGGATTTTCATTTAAACTTCAAATTATCTTTACCATCTCATTTGAAATCTTCAAAATCCTTGTCCGATTTTAACAAATTATATGCTCTATATAAATAAGCACTTTATTTAGTGTAACTATGAAAATTTGTTTTGTGCATCTCTACAACAGTCTTTTATGCCTCAATTTTTCATGTAAGGTGCTCGACCGGGTTCATGGATTTGGAATGAGTTCTAGTGATTCAGTATGCTTACATTTGACGACAATTAGGCCCTTTTTGAATCATTATCACTCAAAAAATAAATTTAATTTCTCGCACAATAAACACAACAGTTCCCAAATTATCCATTTGTGATTGCAAAAAAAATATTTGGCTGAAATTGTACTTTAGTCTTGAGAAAATTGCAAATAGCTAATTGGTGCTAAACTAGCAAAAACTGCAATAAATCTTTAAACCTCAAGTATCGACTAATAAACTTAAAGGACAATCCTCAAAACAATACCTCCATTTAAAACCCATAAAACGTGCAACTTTTCTTAAATGCTTTTGGTCCCTAAACTGTCAAAAATAGTAAACTGAACCCAAATAATTTCTTTTTTAAAAAACTATCTTCTATTCTTCTATCCCATAATAACCCCTCATCCACCACTTTCACCACAAAACCACCCGCTGGCTCACCTCCGAAGACATGGAACAAATCTTTCATCTGTATCTTCATGTACACATCTTCATCCTCTTCTGTGGATTCCATTGTTTCACCAATTCCATTAAAGGGAGACCCTTTTTTTCCAAGTTTCCTTAATGATGATATTTTTGAGTCTTCCATGTCTCACAAATTTGCATTCGTTGGTAAGTTTTCACGTTCAAAGCCTCCATTGGAAAGTGTAGGTGTGGCCCTTAAAGCATTTGGTATTTATGGGGATTCTTATGACATACACTTCATTATCAAATTTCAAGTTGACGAAAATTGTTTTCAAGGATTAAATAGTGAAAATTGAAATAGAAATTATTTCCTTGCCTAACTACAGATTAAATGGTAACGTGGATGGAGATCAAAAGGACTATCATAAACCATAATGTAATGCAATCATGGAATCTTGTATGATCTGGAAATTAAAAATAGACTAATGGATCGCTTCAGGAACAAGAATTTAAAAGTTAGCTGCCAATTCATATGTGCATTAGAGGAACTAATGCACGAAGTACTCTCTTGATCTAGTAAGACAATATCTTTAGGTGGAAATTGTGAAATCAAGGCTACCAAACAAGTGAGAAATGGAAAACAGTATCTCTAAAAATTCAATGAAAGATCGTATTCAAGAATATATGAAGAATACAAGAATTAATTCCCACACTATGAATCACGAAGGCGACCATCTGTCTGATGCCACTTGGACTAAATCGGCTACAATTAAGAGTAGTGTCGAGTTGGTTTGTTCTACAACCACAACGCTGTGCAGCTGATACATATGGTAATTATATCGAATGAGGCTTTAAATAATAGAATATGGACACACGTTGATGAACTTTGACAATAGGATGAATATTAGTAGAATGACCACAACCAACTTAAATATTTCACGCGAGACAGAGAATGATATTTTCCTAAAATAAATCTCTCTGTATTATTCACGTGGCCATTAAAGTAGTTCTAGAGAACTACCAACTTGGTAGAGCAGGAGAAATAAGACCAATTGACATGGAATTTTTTATCAATCAATGAGAAAATTTGATCTCGTAATAGTCACCTTATGGAAGATTGAGTTCCGAATGTTTCCAAGGAAAATACTATGTTGAGAGATACTGTCCCTGTAAGGCAATGCGTTACCGTCTGTATATGGCGGTTGGCGACCGGGGAACCGCTTAGGCTTGTTTCGAAGAAATTCGGGTTGGGAATTTCGACATGTCACAAGCTTGTTCTTGAGGTTTGTTTTGCTATTAGAAATGTTTTGATGCCGAAATATTTAAGGTGGCCGGACGATAAAACAGTGAATAGGATTAAGAATGAATTCGAATCCATTTCCGGGATAAGCAATGTGGTTGGATCAATGTACACAACTCATATACCAATCATTGCTCCTAAGATTAACGTTGCCGCCTGTTTCAACTGGAGGCACACCGAGAGGAATCAAAAGACCTCGTATTCGATTACAGTTCAATGATATGGATCGGACAGTTCCATATTGCTCATAAAAATCGTATTCTATCAGTTTAGACATGCGCCTGCAGGCCCTTCCTTTCACAAATTGCTTTTAAAAAGTAAGTTGTACGAAAGAAGAATGCAACAATAATGTGAAAGGTAACAAATAAAATCAGTAAAATGTGATTTGCAAACCAAGAAATAAACAAATTTTCCTTTTGTCTACGATGAATTAAGTTGTCACCCTAGCTTTTCATATTTGAAAATTCAATCACGTTGTGAAACTAATTTCTACAGCCATAAATTCTTAAAATATGAAAATTCAATCAATATATGCTTTGTAGTTTCACCCTAGCTTAAATCTTAAAAATCACATTATATAAAATCGTCGCTATGAGTTGAGTGATGCTAAATTCTTCCTCAGACAAATTTATATCTTGCTCAAAAGCCACTCAAACGCTTTAAAAAGCAATCTTCTTATCTTTTTGCAAGTTTTATTTATTTATTTTTTCTACATTCAAGAAATATCACTAACTGTCTAATTTTCATTTTCTTGGTATATAAGATGTGTTAGGCTAAAAAACACAATAAAAAATAATTTTTGTCATTACTGTTGTGGCTTTAGTCGAATTGAGTAATTTTTATCCGTTCTTATGCAATTTCTATTGATTATTTTTCAAAGAAGTAATATGTAAGGACTATTTTTGAGTTTCATCACAATCACATCGTCTTCGATGCCTGTGGTAGCTGTATTGCATAATTTTCCCTCTTTGAGGAAAGACAAATATTTATATTCTGACCTGATTAGCTTGGATAAAAATTAAATTTTTAATAAATTTTAATAAAAATTGAAGGAAATATTGGAATCTATTAAATATATGATTAAAATTATTTGTTAACTTTGACTTAAATTTTAATTAATTTTTTCACTAAAGGAGCTTTATATTTGGATAGTACATAATTTTGTCTTGAGGAAAGAATATGGTTTTAGAATAATTACAACTACTTGATGAATTATGTTCCCATTAATGTTATGCTGCTACTCAGGTTCAATATGGAGCTTATAGCATGCCTTATGAGGTTGCAGGGTGTTATCCTCCAAAATATTTTGAGCGTTCATATGCTTACATAAAGCCTATTTCTTAGTGCCTGACTAAGCTTATCGGGTTACTAGGTAATGCCAATAACTCTCATTAAAAGCCATAAGGTTGTGCATTGAAATCTTAGTAATATAATCTACACACTGACACTCTTAGCAGACATTGGAGTTATTGTGATTTGAGTCTTCTTTCCATGTGGACATGTTGATACGGGTTTCTCAGCTATGCTATTAAAAGCTTT